CATGCCCGGCCCGCTTTTCGATGTATTGTAGAGACGAGGTCTCATCACGTGGCCCAGGCTGGTCTCGAATCCCTGGACTCAGGCAATCCTCTCACCTCGGCCTCCCAAAGTGCTGGGATTACAGGCTTGTGCCACCATGGCCGGCACCCTCTACGGTTTTTACCCATGAGGCAAGGGAGGTGGGCGGGTGGCGGGTAGAGGGGTTTAAGTAGGCTGCCCTGGGTCAGGCATCGTTGTGGCTTTTGAACGAATGGAGCAGGGGCCACCAGAGGGGTTCTGGTGGGAGGACTTGTGTGTGAGGATGGCATCTTTTCTGGAGGGCGCAAGCCTCTCGGCCCAGCCTCGCTGGGGTCCTTTCTCCCTCCCCTCTGGGCGGGGGGCTGACCAGGACCCTGGGTGCTCACCGCACCCTCTGCCTGCCGCCTTGGGCCCTTGCAGGAAGCCGACGCAAGCTAACTGAATGCATAACTTTATTAAATAAGTGCTTTGTCATGACAAAAGACAAAGATCAAGGAGTAACATAAATTATAAGTTGAATAAATAGCATACAGCAATCTTCACTTTTTAATAAAACGTGAGAGATCCTCTGTGTTTTTTTTTTTTTTTTAATTTTATTTCCTTAAGTACAAAATGCTAAACAGGAGCTGAGCTCTTCCGCATTCAGGTGATTTTTTTTTCCCGCTTTTTGTTTTTCACAAACTGATATTGTTTGTTGAGTTATTTTTCTATCCTTTTCACCAGTAACGATTATGAGCATTTATTTATCTTAAAAAAAAAGTTGAAAACAAAAGAGAGGAGAGAATAGAGCTATGGTATGTACGTATGTAAAACTATCAAGAACTACAGTAATATGTGCTGTGATTATTGCTGTCTTCAAAAAAGAAAAAAAAAAAGAAACCAAAATCAAACAAACAACCGGTAGGCAACTCGGAATCTGAAGGAATCTTGTCTGACAACTGTGCTATCCGTGTGGGCTACTGTGTGGCGGTGACGATGCTGGAGATGAGACTCAGGCGGTGACCGGGGACCAGAGACGTGGGGTGGACGGGTAAGGGAGGCTGGGGACCCCTTCCCCTCGGACCCGCCTCATCTTCCCTTTCCCCATCCAAAAGGACGTAAGGAGAGGGCCCCAGAGTCTGTGAAACGGCTAAACTCTATACTCCATGAGAAAACCAAGAAAGTATGTTTGAAAAAAGAAACAAAAGCCTCAAAGGAAAAACAAAAACAAAACAAAACAGAAAAAACAAAACAAGTGGAGAAACAGTGCAAAATAATTCTTGCACTTTAGTGGTTTTCAAAACACAGACAGTACAAGGCCCAGGCTGCCGGTGGGTGAAACCTCCTTCCCTGTCCCTCCACTTTGCAAAACCGAGCCTCTATTCTCTTGGAAGCTGGACAGTTCCACTCTGAGACGGGAGGTCTCCTCTCCTGGGTACCCTCCTCTCGGATGTTCTGTCCTGAACCGGAGCCCTCTCGGGGGCAGGGCTGAGTGGATGGGTGGGTGGGTGGGTACTGCCCAG